CGTTCAAAATTGGCCATTTCGCCTCCAGGATCTTTCCTATGCTGAGCATAATTCCTATTTTCACAGGGAAGGTGTCTTTTGACCCCCTCAACCCAAAACGGATTATTTCAGAATTATGACCAGCAATAGAAAATTTCCTGGTTCAAAAAATCGTTCAAAATTAACCATTTCGCCTGCAGAATCTCTCCTATGCTGGGCATAATTCCTATTTTTACAGGGAAGGTGTCTTTTGACCCCCTCAACCCAAAACGGACCATTTCCGAATTATGCCCAGCAATAGAAAGTTTCCAAGTTCAATAAAGCGTTCAAAATTAGCCATTTTGCGTCCAGGATTTTTCCTATGCTGGGCATAATTCCAATTTTCACAGATAGGCTGTCTTTTGACCCCCTTAACCCAAAAAGGATCATTCCCAAATTATGCCCAGCAAAAGAAAATTTACTGGTTTAAAAAAGCGTTCAAAATTGGCCTTTTTGCCTCCACAAGCTTTCATAAGCTGGGCATAATTCCTATTTTCACAGGGAAGGTGTCTTTTGACCCCCTCAACCCAAAACGGACCATTTCCGAATGCATAGGATAAATCCTGGAGGCAAAATGGCTAATTTTGAACGCTTTTTTGCAACTGGAAATTATTTATTGCGGGGCATAATTTAGAAATGGTCCGTTTTGGGTTAAGGGGGTCAAAAGACACCTTCCCTGTAAAAATAGGAATTACGCCCAGCATGGGATAAATCCTGGAGGCAAAATGGCTAATTTTGAACGCTTCTTTGAACCTGGAAACTTTCTATTGCTGGGCATAATTCGGAAATGGTCTATTTTGGGTCAGGGTTGGTCTCGTTAACATAAAAAGTTAACGCGTTACGTTACGTTAATTTGTAAATTACGTAAACGTAGCGCGTTACGTTAACCGTTCAGAAGAAAAATTAACGCGTTACGTTACGTTAAAACGTCGTTAACGTTACGTTAAGTCCCAAAATTGTCAAAAAGCTAAAATTCGCGAAGACAGAAGCTAAAAATTGCCAAAAATGCTGGAAATGTTTCGAGACAAGCAATAAATAGTATCTTGTAAAATAAAAACATTTTATTTTAAATCAATTTAACACAAACGAAATGGTAAAAAAAATGTATTTAGTAACCTTTACTGTATGGTAATGTGCCATATGCCATAGCCTTTACGGTTGAGTTGCATTTTGTAGTTAGGACTCCTGGCCCCACTTGCTAGGTGAACGCCTATTATTGCTATTATTCGGCTCTTATAAAACCCGTTTTAACGTTAACGGCGTTACGGCGTTACCGGTCCCTGGTAACGTAACGCGTTAACGTTACACACCCTACTCGAGAATAACGCGTTGCGTTAACGTTACTAAAATTTTTAACGTAACGTCGTTACGCCGTTAACACGTTAATTAACGAGACCAACCCTGTTTTGGGTTGAGGGGGTCAAAAGACACCTTCCCTGTAAAAATAGGAATTATGCCCAGCATAGGAGAGATTCTGCAGGCGAAATGGCCAATTTTGAACGCTTTTTTGAACCAGGAAATTTTCTATTGCTGGTCATAATTCTGAAATAATCCGTTTTGGGTTGAGGGGGTCAAAAGACACCTTCCCTGTGAAAATAGGAATTATGCTCAGCATAGGAAAGATCCTGGAGGCAAAAAGGCCAATTTTGAACGCTTTTTTTGAACCTGGAAACTTTCTATTGCTGGGCATAATTCGGAAATGGTCCGTTTTGGGTTAAGGTGGTCAAAAGACACCTTCCCTGTAAAAAGAGGAATAATGCCCAGCATAGGATAAATCCTGGAGGCAAAATGGCTAATTTTGAACGCTTTTCTGAACCTGGAAACTTTCTATTGCTGGGCATAATTCGGAAATGGTC